GTTCCCTCCCCCATCCCTCGCCCTTACACTGCAAAACGTCAGGGCAACCCTCAAATGAATTAATCACGGTGCACAACAAAAAAGCGCCCCGTGACTGCAGTCTGCTTTTTTGTCACATTTTATCATTTTTGCAAAATTTTTTCCCACTGCGGCGAACCTCTCCCTGCATTCAGTCGTTTACAGTGCATGCAAAGCATATAAATACATTGACAAAAGAATTACAGAAGTAAATGTGACCACTTTCAGGGAGGAGAGGACAAAACCTTCAGGAAACTCAAGAACATGAATGAGATTAAAACCACGAGACTTCAGCATTCCAAAAGGTAAACCACTTTGCAACTTAGCTCAGGGTAAAGGCAAAAGATCGGATAGCGGCAGTCAAGCACTCGTAAGTCGTCAGTAAATGTTTCAAATCCAGCCTGGGACGCACCAGGCGGGATAGTGCGATTATGTTGTGATAGTAAACCCAGGCTGGAACGCACCACACCGGCCGGTGCGATTATGCGTTTTTGCACTTTTTCGTGCCTACAAGATCGCAAGGAATCAAAGAGCTAACCCTGTGAAATACTGGCCCTCGAAGTTCGGGAAGTTAATTGTGCAACTATGTGGTATGTTAGTTGCTAACCCTGTGAAATACTGGCCCTCGAAGTTCGGAAGTAAATTGTGCAGCTATGTGGTATGTCAGTCGTAGGACCCTGTGAAATACTGGCCCTCGAAGTTCGGGAAGTTAACTGTGCAACTATGTGGTATGTCAGTTGCAGGTGTTGACTTCAGTGACCCGACAAATGGTTGGTCCGCAAAAGAAGGCCACACTAGAAAAGTTAAGTTTAAAATCTTTTAGTCGCACATGAGCAGGAAACATTCCCTTAAAATTAAAGCCTTCAGCTTTCCCGTTCCTGAGTTAGCAGTTTCCCCATCAAAACTTTCAAGTATCTGTATGTGAGTACTGAACGGTTTTAAGAAGCTGAATTTAAAATCTTTTGGTCATACATGAGTAGGGGATATTACCCTAAAGTTCCGGCTTTCTAGCTTTTCCCGTTCTCGGGTTAGTGACTTTCGCGCCAAAATTTTAACGTGCCCGTACGTGAGCCCCTGGCGGTCCTAAGGAGCTGAGTTTGAAAACTTTTGGTCGTGCATGAGTATAGAACATTGCCTCAAAGTTTCAACTTTCTAGCTTTTCTCGTTCTCGAGTCATGAATTTTCTCGCCAAAATTTTCACGTACCAGTACATAAGCGCCGGGCACTCTTGGGCAGCTGAATTTGAAATCGTTTTGTCATACATGGGTAGGGAACATTCTTCCAAGGTTTCAGCTCTATAGCTTTCCTCGTTCCCGAGTTAGCGGTTTTCGCGCCAAAACTTTCACGTGCTCGTACGCGGGACCAGACGTGCGTGAGGTTTGGAACCGCGGTCCTGGAGTGGTACCTGGCTGGGGAACACACTGGCAAAATTTCAACTTCAAAGCTTGCGTGGTTAGCGAGTTGAAATACTCGAACATACACACACACACACACACACACACACACACACACTCATACGCAAACACACACACACACACACACGCACACGCACACGCACACACTGACAGGGGCGTTGCAATATGCGTTTTTGCTGCCTGTGGCAAAAACGCATAAAAACTGAGGTTGCCAGGATGCCAAACAGTCAATCGTTAACAATTTGTTGTTTCACGCGGAATGTTCTGATTCATGAACATACGTCCAGGTTATTGCAAATATCTTCATTTTGAGATGCACACTGTAAAAAACGTTTTCAAATTGCCCTCCCGCAAGACTAAACTTCACCAATAAGTTAATGTCATTTGACGGTTTACACGTACCTCGGACTCGGACGGTTTACCACGGCGATGCAACTCCTTGGCCGTGACAGCGGCTTCTTTCACGCACGCCATGGCTATCTGTTCGGCCTCATCAGCTTCCAGCGGTCTTCCAATCACGTCATCGTCTGTGACATCAGCGAAACGTGAAAAATCAAGTCCTCCAACATGTTCATTAACGACCGTTTCTAGAAGACTGCATTTCTCAAATCCAGACACATAAACAACTTTCCAACTTATTATATATTGAGTGGAGATGCAATTAGTGTTCGAACGCAACTGTCTATGCCTCACAAAAACAGAGAACTGTATAAAATCATTTCCATGTACATATACAAACACCGTGTCACAAAAAAAAGCAGTTAAGTTACATGTGCGATTATCAAAATGACCAAGACTACCCGAACAGTTGGTCTATGATCATACGTTCATGTAACCGAAATGTTATCACAAGCCGGACGCAGCTGCGCCAAGTCCTTCGACCCCGAGCTACTTACTTCTACTAAGTATCCACACCTCCTCCCAAGTACCACCTTTTCGAAGACTGATTCGACCGTTTATTTTCTTATGGGTACCATTCACTCGCACGCAACATATATATATATATATATATATATGTATATATTTATACACACATATATGTACACATATATATATATATATATATACACATATATGTATATATAGATACACATATGTGTAACATGCATTAATGAATGATG